ATATATATATATATATATATATATATTATGGAAAAAAATTAAAATGATAATCGTTGAATGATCAATTTTATAAAATGATATCAATTTATATTTTAAATTATTTTAATGAATATATTGCTAAGCATTAAAAAAAAGCATATATAACTTAAAAAAAATGTTAGTTAGTAAAATATACGGAAAATTTAGTAGTGAATTTACGAAATAGTAATGGTTGGATAGCAAAATGTATATAAGTATGTAATGGAAAAATAAAAATTTATATAAACGTCTGTAATTCTTTTTAAACTTTTTATGTTACATCATCGTTTAGAAATATACAGACAACGCATGCTCTGGAAGGAGAAAAAAAACAAAAGACAAAATGTTCGGTATCACCATCTTTATTGTTTTAGGTTAAAAAAACGTGATGAAAGTTGAATTGACAGGTGGGTAAAAAGTTAATATACTAATGACAATTGTCCTGCCAAATGGGCAAATGTCCTGTATATAATAGCACGGTCAATGATATTTTAACATAAAGTTTTGGAAATAGTGTACCTGTCAATTTTTTAATGAGTCTAAAATACATTAACAGAATAATAAAATAATACGTGTATTTTGTATTCAAATATTTTTAAAAAAGTATGTGTGAAAATATTTTTTCCGTAAGAATTTGCCAAATAAAACTTGAACGCTTAATAAGATGAGAAACTGAATTTTACAACAAAAGAGAGAAAAGAAAAAACTGTGAAATATAAAAGTGAAAATATGAGAACTGTGAAATTTACCTAAAAAGAAGATAAGAAATGAGTACAATAATTGAATGGTCGTATCTGACAACAATTCAAATTTGCTTTCCCACTTTCCCCAGCCTTTGGCCCAATTATTGTACCACAAATCTTTCGTATATAACGACGTGTGACTGAAATTTTAACATACTTATTGATTTAAAACTCATATAAATGAGTAATTAATAGTATTTTAAATTTACACTAAAGTTACGTTTATAAAAATATACTTCTTGACTTCTACATATAAAAAAATATATTAAAACTATGTTACATAATTTCAACATGAAAATAATAAAAAATAATCAAAGCTGCATTTGAAAGCCTAATCTCTTATCAAGGCGTTCTTTTAAGTATGACTTAATCATTTACATTTCATATAAAAAATATAAAAAACAATATTTTTAAACTAAAATGTCTATCCTTGAGAAGAAGTATTTTTGTAGTTTTATAATCTCATCATTGATGTTTAAAAATAAAAGAACATGAATTAAAATGAAAAAAAGTTACTTAATTAAAAGGAAAATATCATAGATGCTCAAACAAACTCTATATATAAATCTTAAGTATAATAGTAGAACATATAACACTATATTTACTGTATAAAATACTAGTATGCATCATCTAACCACAATGCAACAGAAGTTGAGAGCGGAGGTTAAAAGTAAAGAGCAGAATTAAGAGGAGGAGTAATGCAGAAATAGAAACCTGAAGAAGAAGATGATGATGAGAAATAAGAAGCCTGAAGAAGAAGATGATGATGGTGCTGCGGTGTGATGTTAAATGAAGGAGAACGCTGTTTATATAGTAGAAAGAGAGGTAGATCTATGGCAATTGAAGAAGCATTCTGGAATATTCCTTTTGTATTTGTTGCTCACTGTTACTCCATGGTTTTGACATTTACACTTTCCAGGTAAGGGATGCCTCAACTCCAAGTTGCTTCTAGACGAATATGCATAATGTATAAGAGAAAGTCTTAGTCAGCGGACGTGAAAATAAAATCCAAAACAGAAAATACAATTCCAATATATGTTTTGGAAAAAATAATCTCAATAATTTATAATTAGTTTACGCATATAGGTTTCAGGTTGAATGGAGTAACTAACATTAATAAGGGAGCAAACATAAGCTCATTAGAGTTGTAAAGAGGTTGATATAGGCTCTCAGACAAATGTACTATACGATGAATACGGAGAATATTAGAAAATGATTGACTCAAAATGATAACGTATTGGGTGGGTGGAAAAGGATGTGAGCGACCGTTTATACTTAGTGACTAAGAATTGGAAGAATATTAACAAATATACGATAAAGTGATACCATAAGTATCGTGTTGTAAGTGAACAAAAAGGAAAGTGTGGAAAGAAAATGCTGGAACAGATTAAGAAGAAATAATACATCAGAAAAAGATGTTTAAGAAGTAGTCATGGGGTTATATGGTTCTTGAGACCTCTTTGTATTGCTTGCTTCGGAGGCAGATGCAAGAGACTACATTTATCAGTAAATTTTTGCCAAGATGATGTTAAAGCTCGGTCATTGGAAGTGGTGATTATTAAGTATTTATATCCTGATAACCACACAATTTCTATAATTTGTATATAGGAAGAAGTGGTGTTTATATATAATTTGGACATCACGATGATCTCCCCTAATATAATTCTTTTAATAGACAAAAAAACATATATATAAAAAAAAATATAATATTATTCTTAGTTTTTTTTAACAGACACAGTCTTATTTCAACACAAAAGTTTAGTACAGTCTGCTCCATAATGATAAAACAGCACATTAAAATCAATATACACATCGAGTAAAGAATTTATTATATATCTTTAATAGTATAGATCATACGTTTGGTTGGTCGAAACAGAGTCCTACAATAGAAGGTTGAATATATGATATCTGACCATAAAGAAAATTGCAGAGCTATATACAAAAGCAAGGGTGGACAAACGAGTACTGCTATTGAATCAGGTATAACCCTCGAACCGTAGTTGTATGTTATGAAGAAGGCACTGCCAAATGCTACCATCATACATGCTATGGAGATGAATAGAGTTATGAGTCCAGATATCAACTTCAAGGGTAGTGACTTGTAAAAGTCATACTCGGCATAACGTGACATGAGAATAGACAAGAATATTAATATTGCAGTCGAAGATGAGATGAAAGCAGCTCCATCTGATATTGCAAATAGCAAAAATGATGTTTGGTTCAAAAAATTTGGTTTTTTTGTTTCATAATCAATACCACCTGGTATATTAATCGCAGCAGAGAACACTGCTGTGGCAATAACAGTTGAGATGAGTATGCAAAACTCTGCAGTACGTTTCATCCACTCTTCTCCTTTTTTTCGCAATCCTTCATGTTGTGTTGTGAATAATTCCTGAGCAGTTAGGCCATCAGAATTTTTCATTATTACGTACGATTGAGGCATTATTTTCTTCACCTCCTGCACACATTTAAAGATATAGTATAAAAAATTGTAAAATATAACTATAATACATTTTATACACATTCTGATTTATAGAAGGAATAGTATAATGTGAAAATGCAAAAGCATGCAAAGTAAAAGAACTAGAACTTACCTCAAACCATATTATCTCAAGGCACATTTGAAGTGCTGCTCCAGAAACTAATTCAAGTTGATCTGGTGGAGCTAACTTTGCAGCCAAATGCAACAAATTGTTGTTCTTTATTTTCGGCAAAGAAAAGGAAGGGTTGTCTTCTTTCACAATATAGGTTAGTATAAGATCCTTTTGGCACCCTATCTCATGTATTAGATTGAAGATGCTAGCATGGCGAAACAAAACTGCAGTGTGAATTATACTTTGATTTTTGTTGTCAACTTCCCATATCAAACTGGGGTGAGCACTGATAAGTTCTGATAAGAATCCAAAATTACCAACTTCAGCAGCGTCGAACAATAGTTGATAAGGTTCACTTATGATTTCAATTGCCTCCGAGAGGGTTTTGTGGCACAGCATGGTTTTCCAGAGATACTTAACCAATTGAAAGATCATAAGTTGGTTCATTCCTGCACTACAAAAAATCGGCCGCTATGCAATGAAACATATGTAAAAGAAAAAGGAAATTTTGAAAGCTCCACTGTATATAAAAATTCAAGTTACGTGTCCTAATTTTGCTTATGTGTTTTGAATATAAGAATTTACCTGGATTGATCTTGATGGGATTTGGAAGCTGTGGAGAATGACAACAAGAATCCATAGGATTTTTGTTTAGAGCCAAGAGATGCAAAGCTGTATCATTATTCTGATCACGTTCCCAAGCTAGATTGGGCCACTCTCTTGCCATTTGTAAGGCCATGTCTGAAAAATGTTTGATATATATTTAGCATGCTTTACTGTAAAACAAAGGAGTGTAATTTTTCTAGACACTCTATTATTAAATTTCATTAAAATTGCATACGGTAATTTCCGGTCTCGACACAGGTGAAGAACAAGGATCTTCGGTCTAAATCCTCAAATACTTCTTCGGTTTTGTCATAGAGAAACTGTGCCATGTAGCATTTTCCTTGCATTAGAGCAAACTTTAGAGGGGTGTGTCCTCCTCCACCCCTGATTCTGGGTAGGTGGGGGTTTCTTTTCAGCAACAATTCAACAATGCGCATATTTCCAGAAGCAACAGCAAAGCAGAAGGCAGTATTGCCCTTGCTATCTCGCAAATCGATGTGTTCATCACTCAGCACTTGCAGTAGCTCCTCCACAAAGTGAACATGGTTTGCACCTGCAGCAACATGCAATAATGTACTCCAACCACTTGTTATTGCTGCATGTTCCAGTCTCTTATCTTTGTCTAAGATCACTTTGGCTTCTGTCCAATTGCCTTCTAAACCATACTTGTGAAGTGGCACGCAAAACTTCAAAAACTTCTCCTGAGAATCTCCTGAAACATTACACTTACTCTATAAGATTTTGTTTGTTTTGAATTAATTGACAATATCCTTTATGGTTCTTAATTACTGCATAACTCAAACAATATTATTACCATTTTTAATTCTTATTCCTTTAAAGACTTTTCCTTCAAACTAACAAAGATAAAATATTCAATTTTAATACATTTCTCATATCATGTCAGTTTTTATTTACATTTAACAAAAACAATGATAATTACTTAACAAAATATACAATTAAATAATTTCTTATTACTAGGAAAGATTATAAAATAATTAATATATAATTAATGATATAGCATCATTTACCACTATTATTTGACTATATAGCAACACATTATAGGCTGATTGATAAATATTCCAGAAATAACATAAGTCAAAATTTTAATTAGGAATCATCCCAAAAAAATTAAAATATTTAGAGATGAAAAAACATAAGAATTTACTATTATTTAGCGAAAATTTTAAAATATGAGAGTTATATAACTAAAATAATTAAGAGAATAGATAAGAAAAAAAAAAACATTTCGATCTTACCTGTTCCGTTTAAAAAGTATTGGTCAGGAGCTTTAAATGGATCCGGATTTGAGTCCATTGTATTGTCGGACACTTCTCTTGTAGGAGTTGGAGAACCTATCATTTGTCTGTACAAATAAATATACACGACATTTAATATAACAAAGGGGACAATTGGGAGAAAAATAATATTAAAAAAATGTAGAATAAAATAAAGATTGAATGTATATTTACTATTTAATTAATTTATTTTTGTGGATTTTATCATTTAAATGAAAGGTTACTGGGTACAAAGTCTAAAAAGCAAAATAACATTGTTATTTAATTTTGTTGTGAAAATGTGTCATTTTAACATTTTTTTTAAAATTCTATAATTAGCTTGTTAGATATTTCACATAATAATAAAACGTCTAGGAATTGAAGGATACGATGATAAAATACGTGGAAAAAGTTATTGATTAGATTATTGAAATGATAAAAAAAAGTAACACTATTACTAAAATTAATATATGATTAGCGTAGAAAAAATATTATTATTATTTTTAAATTTTACTATAGCAATATTAAGAATATAAAGTAGTTATGATATGTCAATAAGTAATGATATGAATTTAGAAATCTACAAAACAATGAGTGCTCTAGTATAGAAAAACAAAAGAAAAAGGTAAAAGTGATCATCAGCAGCAGCAATTATCAAATACCTTAAAAATAAATAAATAAATAAGATACCTTTGAAGACCATCCCATATTTGCTTGGTTGACTTCGAAGTGTCTGAAAATATTTCAAAAAATTCTGGACTCAAGGCACAATATAAAATGTTTTTTGCTTTTGCTTCCAATTCCAAATTCTTCATATCTTCTTCATCGTATTCATCTTCACTCTTCTGAACTTCTTCATTATCTACTAACTTTGTTGGAATTGTGGGTCCATTTTTAATCACAAGCCAAAGCTTGTAGTCAATAAATTTAATGTATACTATCATTCGCTCCTTCCATTCATCGTATTTTCTGCCATTAAAATATGGTGGCTTCCAAATTGATTGTCCTTCACTCATCATATTACTCATTAAATTTCCACCACTTGATCAACCTACAATTATATGTGTTGGTTTTGATGGTTAGATTACTCAAAATTCACCCTGTTCATGAAAAAACTAAAACGTATATTGTCTACTGTAAAAATGTAAAATGTAAAATTTATTTATATTTTAAATCATTCAGATAAATAGATGATAGGTTTTTCAATCCATATCGTTATAACTTTATTCACTATCAAAATTTGCTGTACAAAATATGTCAAATAATTAATTATTTAAGCCACAAATATACAAGTATATATGTAAAACATTATCAAAATTAAAACAATACAATTACATATATCCACCTACAAGAACCCGTGTGTATTTTATTCTAATTTTTAACCATTCAAATGAAATTTAGTATTCTATATTGATAGTCACGAATACACTAAGAAAACTTAAACATCAAATCGAAAGTTCTGTTTTTTATCAGCACATCAAATTGAAAGTGAGGCAGCATGCAATTGGCTGGGATCGAACGGTACCTATTTTCTATATATAAACATTGAAAAGAAATGTGGGAACTATAACAATTTCTTTTGAGTGTTCTTTAGAATATAAAATCTCTATTAAAGTAAAAGGTCAAAGAAAGATGATTGATAGATGCGTATGGACGGTTTCTTTTATTTTTTGTTTTACTATTTGATCCACTTGCACGTTGAGGAAATGAAAAGATCTTTAAGTATATACCACCAAAGTAAACCTAACAGTACAACTTCATATAAATAAATGAATTTTACCACGAGAAAGAAGAAAAAGTGATATATAAAAGAACAGTAAAATTTAGCAGCACCTAAAAAGGAATGAACAAAGTAGAGTAAAACATGATGGTGTCACAAAAAACAAGCCCTCAGTGAGAATAATCCAAGTTTTCATGGGGGCACTTCTTCTAGCTTTAGGCCAATTATTGTACTAAACTGCTACTGACAGTTCAACCTAATGAAGAACATGTTGAGTGCGTACCTGAAAAGTGAAATTCTAGGGGGAGCTTTTCCTCCTACCGTTAATTGTCTGCACTAAAATGATCACCAAGATGCAGAGGTAAGGAAAAGTGATAATTGGAATTGGAGAAATATAGCAGAAGAGAAAGTTGGAAGAAGAAGAGGTGAAAAGGAGAAACAGAAGCCAGAAGAAGAAGATGGTGCAAGTGGTGGTGGTGGTGGTTTGTGCTGCCGTGTTAAATGAAATGGATTTATAGCATATGAATAGAAAGGTGGAGTCCTGACAAAAGAAGAAATGATGAAGAATCTTCCTTTAAATTCTGTGTTTATCTGGGTGCATTGCACTTTCCTCGTAATGAATCACTCAAACAAACATTAATTTGCTTTGCTGACAGATATGTGCTTGTGATGTAATAGAGCTAGTCTTCTCTCAGTCAACGGATATAAAAAAAAAATCCAAAATAGACAAATGCTTGACCTATCATGCTGTTTACAATATCATAACATTCTATTAAAAGGACAAAGTTTATAGTCACGCGTGCCTATTCTATACAACTGAAACAAAACCACATGAATTATCTAATATCTAAGAAATTATGGATTTGCTTAATCCAGTTTCTACATAATCATCTATTTTCATATTAAAACAAGACTATTGCCTCCAACAGAAACTAAAAGAGTGGACTAATAATTGGTTTAAACATAAAATCACAATAATTATGTATATTTAATCACACATAAAACCTCACTCATTACATTTACACCGGGTTTATTTTTATCAGCAAAGAAACATTATATATTTATAAAAGAGTACTTAAGTTGCCCTTTTATAATACGTAGACAACCTGATCTATAGTAATTTACATTAGATTCATATTTTGCAAACATAAGTTCTTTTGCAACACTTAAGTTAAGAATCATAATTTGCCTCTAAAGAAGAACTACTACTTCTAAAAGACAACTCTTAAGTTCAAACTTGAGTGAAAACATATGTAGTTTGAGCTATAACATCCTTATTGCTTAAGTGACATAACAGACTAATTAAATATATATATATATATATATATATATCATTTCTTGAGTTCTAAACTCAAAGATTGAATTTAAAAAAATTGTTTTCAAATTTTGTTTTACTTATATTAAAACATATATACTTGTATCTTCAATAATTCTTTTAATTTTAACTATCCTCGAATATGGTGAAAACCCCTCTCTCTTTTTTTCATGTTATGAAAATTTATCATATAAATTGTGTGGTCCAGTGAAAGAAACTTCTTAGAAGCATCCACAAATTAAGAGAATCTGCAAATCCATTGGCACCTCCAACTTCCTTCATAAATAAAGTCGATGGTCTTAAGCAAAAAATTGAACACCCAATAAATTAAGAAAAGAAAGTCAAACTTTGAATCAAGCACCACAAAATTATTTAACCCTTCCAAGAGGAGGAGTTTCCAAGTAATTGTTAGAACCTGACCATGAGAACAAAACTAAAATAAGCTTTTCCAAGTATATATATATATATTGAATTTTCATTATTTTAATATAATATTATTATGTTAATAGAAATATAATTATATCATCATATTTGTCGAAAAACTATTATATCTAAAATAAATGATAAAAATATGTTGAAGAAAAAATGTTAAATATATTAGTTACGGCAACACAGAGAATGGATATGATATTATTGGATGAAGATTTTCTATAGTTAATTTTATTCCACGACCCAAATTATTTTTATTTTAAAAAATAATCTTCTCTAGTGTTGTATATATTATTAATATCGATCTCTTATAGATTTAGATTTCAGTAGATCCTATATCTACATCCATCCATTTCTTTATTTACATAATATTTTAAATTTAAATTTAATACGAAACTGTGATAATATAGAATGAATTTAAATTCCAGTGTCTATACTATTAATACTAAGAGGAGTTAGGAAAAAAAAAAGGATATAGTAGAAAAATATATCTGAACAAAAGTAAAGGAAATAAAAGATGACGTTGTTGAGTTTAATGAAGTAAAGTTAAGATTGCATGAGCAGAGTCATCCAGCACTACACTGAAAGCAACAAACACATAAAAAGTGACTGGCTGCATAAAAATCGAATTAGAATTGTGAAACTTTTGTGGAAAACTTCAGCAACAAGACATACTTGTCAGGCTTTTGTGGGGGTCACAATGTTGTTGGTGGAAAATTAGGAAAGGTTAACTTTCCAAAGAAAAAGCATTTTTCCTTCTCATACTTCTCAAAATTAGCAGTGTAGAATTGCAATCAAGAGTCTTTATTTTGCAAGTTATATCAATTTAACCAATATAAATTATAATTTATATAATAAAAAAACGTGAGCTTAATTAAATTTCAAATATGGATTTTTAATTAACTTTCTTTTAAACTTTTGTCTGTCTATAAATGTTTTTATTTTTTCAATTGATTGAATGACTTGATTTCTTATCCTGTCTAGTTATTGTATTCCGATGTCTTCACGCGTTCAAAAAAATTATGTAATTAATATAAAATAACATTAAAACAATAAAAATTATTTATTAATTTATATTAGGTATAAAATCTTTTATACAAATAAAGAATTTTCATATTTTTTAATTCGAAAGAAAAATATATAAGATGATTAGACAAAATAACAATCATGTCATTTAATTAATAAAAAAATTAAATAATAAAAATTTAATTGAAAAACATAAAATGTGAATAATCAAAGTAAAATAAAATAATAAATACTTAATTAAAAATATGCAAATCTATATAAATTTGAAACTTAATTAAATATAAAAGGTAAAAGATTTGTAAACCAAAGTTCAAATATAATTTCATGGAAGATTATATGATGTAGGTAATATTTTATACGGGTCAAAGATAAACTTAGTAAATTTGTAGAGATGTTGTTTGAATATGTTTCAACAAGAAAATTTAGGGCTTTGAGTGTTTTGCTGTCTCTTGTAGTTCTCTCTGTGAGGTTTTCATATTGTATTTATTAAATTGTTTTAGAATCATTTTGTGAAATAGTTGGCATTCCTTAAATATTTCCTATCATATAA